CAGAATAAGACTAAGCTATTGCTAGATTATATGTGCCGGTAAGCATAAGCTCTCATATTTCGCCATCTCACACGATCACTATACTTACAGATCAGATCAGTCTTCCTGTATAGTAGCATCCATTTGGCCAGCTTCCTTTTATATGTGTCAGAGGTTTAAACCTTGTTTAAGTGCAGAATAATCATTATCATAATCATACCAGGGATGCAACATGGAGCTGCAAGAAATGAACATATTACCAAGGGCAGAAGTAACGACGTTTAATTAATCAATATAGAACTGGTGCCATCAGTCTTTTTACGCCTGTGGAGTAACTGACGACGAGATCGGAGCACCTGTGGATCTGTCCGGAGTGTTGTGATGATAATTCTCACTAACCATTGGCAGGTGAGAATTAACGAAGAAGCGATCTCAATGTTGTAACGTATTCTGATATCTATGTGAACAGAGTAGAGATCAGATCCGGCAACAGAGCAGAGGCGTAGTAACAAAGGGTGTGCGAAAAACAATGAGAGGGGTGCAGATCGCACCTGGGGGTGCCTAGTTGACCATGTTCTTGGTGCACTTGTTTCCATAGCGGGGCGCACACTCCGTCTGGAGGTGACAGGTTTGATTCCCGGCAAGGTAACTATAACTTTCGATTTTTATGTTGTCTAGTGGGTTCTTCTATCTTTCTACTTCTTTCTATGAGTGCCGATCAATACATTTAATGTTAATGAGTTGGTGATAGAATGGGAGGGGGGATGTGCGTGAGTGTGTATAGACGGGTAGGGGCCACCAGAAAATTTTCCGCACCGAGTACTACCTGGCTTTATAATGCTACTGCATCAGAACTTTCGGAACATTTACATAATCGTTTCGTCCCCATCTTCAGCAGCCAGTCTAAATTCCAATGATACCAATAGCGTTACTGTCTCTGGATGCTGGTGCAAACCAAATAACTGAATTCTTGTTTAAATAAACCACACGCAACATTGAGTGATGAAGACTTTAAAATAAATCCATGGGTATTAATATGCACTTATAGCAAACTAAAGCAATAGAGAAGGGCCTTTAAATGTGTTTTACTGTCAGACAATCTGATTGGCTGATCGCTCTCCCCATCACCCAATCGACACTGGGCTTGTAAACTAGACTAGGCCTTGCACATCAACAAGCAGAAGTCGGTATGGAACGTGGCAGTTTTCTTAGACAAACCCCCTATCTAACCACACAATTATCGCAGCTGTCTAGATAATTATTTTATAAACAGGAGCTGTGCAGTTTCAGGTAAATAACTGTTATAATCTGGGAGTGATTAACCGCATGTTTCGTGCAATAGGACCGACATTGTGAAGAAAGAAAGTTGAAAATTGTAGCGGAGGAGTTGACAGCTGATGTGTTGTTGCCTTTTGTTGCATAATAGTATATTAAGCAGGCACTGGCGCGTTACTTGTTTTGTTGATATATGTATGATTTTTTATCAGTCTCAGTCTGATAGTTAAAAATTGATTAACCACACAACAGTATACATTGTACAGCTATTGGTTTTGTATTAGACAGTTGTAAAGTGTAAACAAATATTAATCCTAACGACGTATTCTGTTTTCCGCTTTTGCCTCTCCATGTCCGACCGACGCTTTATAAAGAAATGCCCTGAGCAACGATGAACAAATACTTTTAATCGTGTATTGATCTTGGTAGCAGATAGGATTACATGTAGAGCAGTTGAGTTGCTCTGAGAGCTTATCATGCTTTGATCACACACATACCGTGTTAATAAACAATACAAAATGAGAAAAGAATGAAAGCAGTCTCTAAAAAAAGCTTCATCATAGTATGTCAGTAACTGTTCCACAAGAAGCGAAGTAAAGGACCCTTTTCATGTTATCTGGGTATATGGTGCTGGACTCCTATTTTGTAGTGCATTCACCATTGGATTGGTGAGGCAAGCTCAAGCTAGCCACCTTTACTTCCTTCCCCTGTCATCTTATGGTACCCATTTTAGGCAGGGTTGATCTGGAAAGCAGTTCAGTTTGACAAACCTGCCCTGTGAAGAAGTGTGTGGCCTACAGGTTACTGCATGAGTTTAGTGATTTCATGATCCTCAGGTACTGGGGTTTGATTTCCATGGTGGGTTTTTATTTATTTATTTATCAAACCGTTCCCGTGGTTTTTGGATTATTGAACGAGAGCCATTCTTTAAAAGATATTGGGCCTCACCAGATAATATTATCAAAAGAGATAGGGGCCTAACCAGGTAATATTATCCAAGACAGTAGTGAGTGATGCTGTCAGTCTTCATTGTGGAGACAGCAAACAATTTGCTGTTCTTCTTTGAAGTACTATAGTGCTGATCCGGGGATGCTATATACCTAAGCGTGAAGTGTTCTTTTGTCCTTTAGCTCCAGATGGAACATAATATAAACTTGTGTGTTGAGAGATGTGTCAAGTCTTGCATCTTGCTCTTCTGGCTGTAGCAACTTAAAGACACAAGTGACTATGAGGTGATCTGATGTTATCTTTCCATCATATTCTTTGACTGCCTCATGCTCTACTCTAATACTCTGTTGCTGGTGCCAGGCATGCAGTATCAACAATTCACATGCATCAACACCTGTGAGGGAAGCAGCATTAGGCCAACCACAAATGTAATGTTAGAAGTGATACTATCAGGCAGATTGTGGGAATAACATTGTGTGTCAGATACAATAAGTAGAAGATCAGATGGTTTGAGTGTCTTATCAGAGTGCAGGAACACTACCTGTTAACATGGGAACAGGCAACCGCAGAGGAAGTATTGTAAACTACACTGATAGCGACATTTATATAATAATAACAACAGAGTACTAAAAGAACTTTTCATTACTTCATCCTGATGTTTTATATTTTATAATATAGTGTTTTCATCGAAATTATTTACAACATTGCTTATTTTTTTCAGTTTGATCAAGGATAGATGCACATGTTCTGTGCTTGAAATGCTGCTCTAAAAGACTGCAACACTGAGGTATGTGACAACTAGGATTTTGTTTCATTTTTTGAAATAAAAGTTTCAATGTGTTTAAATGCCACATAGTTTCTTCAGTTTATGTGCATCAGTCCACTATGTTGATGCTCAGGAAAAGATTGACAGATTTTTTTAACAGTGACCCTTACCAAAGGACTCAAGATATATACCAGTAATACTGAACCATAAAACCCAATTATCTTAAACAATGAAGGTAAAGAATTATATTCCTCAGAAGTAAAGTTACTGCTGTGGGGGATTATGAATAAACAAAGCGAACCAAGCATTTGCATTTTGAACAATATATTGATGTCAGCGGGACTTAGTTATAAGACAAAACTTAGTTTATACAAGAGCAGCAGTTTAAGAGTACTGTGTAGGAAATGACAGCAGGAGTTACACATAAAAGAGAGATATTTTCAGAATACATGCCTAAGGAGACGTGCAAATAATTTGGTTAAATGTCACAAAGAAAGAATTAAAGAGGAAAACAAAATGTTCACCACTAGCAAATGTTTATGAAGGAAGAAAGTAGAGATGTCATGGACATGTTTGCAGAGTGCCTTGTGACACTATGGCAAGGCCAGCTCTCTGATGGATGACGGATGGAAAAGGGAGATGTGAACGACCCAAGAAACCTGGAGGACAGTAGAAAAGTGAACAAGGAATGCAAAGTGACATGGAATAGCATAGGCAGAAAACTGGCAGAAATGGAAATCACTTGTGAGTGCCAACACCGATATGAAAATGATGTAAACAGACTTGTAACGGTGTGGTGTCAATTTCCTAGGTGTTATAAGCAAAGTTTTACAATTACTACATACCTGCTTCAGGTCAGCTGCAGACCATTTAGACGAGGAGATAGGGACTGCACAGTAGCTTTCATTAAGGCTACCGGCCTCCAGATATACAAGTTTTCTGACAGAAGGATTGAAGAAGAAGAAGAAGACTGCCCTATAACAAGGGTGTTGTGAAAATTCACTGATTAGGGGTTGTTTTATTCAAAGTCAAGAATACAACTGCCTGAGATGTGAGGAACCAGCAGTCTGCTGCAAAACTCAAGTTGTGGAACGTAACTAAAGTCCAGACATGGGCAAGCAACCAGAACTTTCAGCTGAAGTTTACAGATGCTGAGCATGAAGAAGATAAAAACGATGAGACCAAAAACACATCAGGAAGGGAACCAGTAAACACATAAAAGGCTCAGCTCATATATTCATAGACCAATCAGCCCTTGGAGGTTGACCACATCAACCACATTGTTGTTGGGGACCACCACTGGTCCGGTGACCAACGATTTAAGAACACAGCCTTAAAGCACTAACAGCTAGCTTTTTAACTTTCATCATGATCCCTACCACATTTACTATATTCTTTTGTGGGTGGGTTTTCTGAATTTAAAATTGAAGCTGAGAGGCAGCCTAGTCAGTCTCCTATGTTCACTTTCTAACTTCTAAGGGATTTCTTCTCTTTCTGAATTCACCATTAAAAGGGCAGTTGGGACATTGTGTTGTTGTTTACAGCTAGGTTGTGATATAATCATCTTTTGGCTCAACCCAGCACATCTAATTTCAGTAAACTTCTAATCAGTCACTTTTAACAGCATGCTTGTTGGGTGCAGTGGCTGATACAAATGCTTTCACCCATTGTTTATCATATTTATGCTAAGTAAATGTTCACACAGATATATATATATATATGTGTGCATATGTATGTATGTGTGCATGTGTAAGTATGTATGGGTGCATGTTTTTGTATGTGTGCGTGCATGTATGTTTGTATGTGTGTCTATATGTATGTGTGTGTATATATATATATATGTGTGTGGTTAACAAGAGTTATATTTTTTCATTTTCCAGCAGATAAAACAGAGACAGACTGACAGTCTCATCCATTTATTCTGAGAGCATCTGGAAACCTGGGACTGAGATTTTGGGAGCTGTCTGTGTCCTCGCTGTCAGTTTGAGCCAGACAACCCTCTCTGACATTTGACAGTTTTGTCCTCCTCATCATGTCATCAGAAGTGAAAGATAAAACATCATATTCTTCATCAGACAAAAAGACAGATGATACACAGGGTAAGAGATGTTATGTAACAAGTGTTAGTGAGATTAGTTAATATTTCATTTTGTTCTGATTGTTTTTTGTTTTATGTGTGAGGAGTGTCTGGCCAGGTGGTGAAGAATGATGGGCTCTCTTGTGTCAAATCTTGGCTAATGTTAGGCTATCTTTCTACCATTACGCAATGGTACACAGTACATGTCTTCTTTTTTTTTTAGGTATAATTTTTTTGACACTTTTGTAATAGATAGTTTTGGGCAGTACCTTCTTTTTTACACTTAATGGAATGTACCGGCACTATTTAAAAAAAAAAAAGAAACAAGCACTGGATAAGTTGATGGATGTGTTTCTGTCAGGAAACATGAATCCTACCTAACCTGTATAGTCTGTGGCGAATGCACTGGCCATGTGACCCTAAATCCTCAGGCTGAAGATCCAGCTTGTATTGACTAAAATAGTGTTAGTAACTGGCAGTCTTCTTCTTCAGTTCCTTCTGTATCATTTCAGGTGTCGTGGGAGATCTAAGGTTCTGCTTCTTACTGCTCTGGTCACCTTGACCTTAGACATGTCATGCAGATGTAGAGTTTCTCTGTAGTTATCTTTCCATCCAGTTCTTATTTTTCATGTGCTCTGCATCCTTCGCCTCTTTTTGGTGTATGCCTTGTATGGTTCTGTGTCACAAGGCATTCTCTCAAAGTGGACAAACCACTTGATCTGCTGTCTTTGTATGTAATTTAGAACTTGTTCTTTGCCAACGTTTTCTTCCATTACCTCATTTCTGATTAAATCTCTTCTGGCCACTCCAGCAGCCCTTCTTAGAAATCTCATTTTTTTGGTTAGCAATGTTTCTTGTGAGTGAGTGACTTTCTACCCCACTAGGACATCACACAAGCGATAAACACCCGATGACACAACGTGCCACCATGTGGATGAGGATCACCGTGGAGAGGTCCCAGAAACCGCGTTCAGACATTTGGCCATTTTTATGGCCTGCCTATATTGCGGCCCCTGGCAAAAGCCAGAGTGGGGCTTCAGATAACAAAAAATTACATCCTGAAAAGGAGGTAAGGACTTGAAGCTATAATATAATGTTTCTTGTGTGGTTTGTTGTGTTGTGAATGACCATTTCTGATTTCTGGCACTGGTAGCAAAAAGTGGTAATAAACATGATTTGAGTGAGATGTTTCTTTGTGCAGATTGGTATTGTCTCATACTGTAGAGAGAGAGAGAGAGGTGGGGGGGGGGGGGCTAGCTGTCCCATTACATGGCTTGCTTTACTGTACCTAATGTTAATTAATTAATTATTTGTTTCCTAGCTAAACTGAATTAATTTGTCTCCCTTTGCCACAGCAGCGAAGGCTCAACCCACAGGTGGGCTTCTATGGAGGATGTCAACTGGTCTTGTTAGTTCAGCCACAGGAGTAGTTTCTGGAGCTGTTGGCTACGGGGTCAGCGGTGCCAAATGGGTTGCTGGGAAGACAGTTGATGCAGGGTCTGCTATAGCAAGTACAACATTGAGTGCCGGTGCCGCAGTAGCTAGCAAGCTTCCCCTTCCCACTGTTGGTAAAAAGGATAAGAAGGAATAGCTTTGCTGAGGTAACCTATATTGGATTGCTAGATTGGCTATTATAATATATATCTTTAGTCCTCATGTTGCTTCTATAGCCGATTCTGTCGATAAAAGAATAGACTAACTGCCTGCCTAATAAACATGTTGTACAAGGCGACTTATTAATGGTTTCCTTTGAAGTCAGAGTGCATTTAGCCAAGAGGCAAAGAACAAATAGTCTGCATATGGGTAAGCCAGATCTGTAAAACAGATGGGCATGAAAACTCAAGTTCTGGAACAAGACCACAGTCCAGAAATAGACAAACAGCCAGACTTGACCTCTGGAGTTTACACATGGTGAATGCCAAGAAGAAGAATATATTTAGTGGAATTAGACTGTATGCATTGAAAGTGTGAGAATCTGTTGATTTCTCTTGAAGGAAATGTCTCTTGCTTTGATTTTTCTTGAAGGAAATGTCTCTTGTTCTGATTTTTCTTGAAGGAAATGTCTCTTGCTCTGATTTTTCTTGAATGAAATGTCTCTTGCTCTGATTTTTCTTGAATGAAATGTCTCTTGCTCTGATTTTTCTTGAAGGAAATGTCTCTTGCTCTGATTTTTCTTGAAGGAAATGTCTCGTGCTCTGATTTTTCTTAAAGGAAATGTCTCTTGCTCTGATTTTTCTTGAAGGAAATGTCTCTTGCCCTGATTTTTCTTAAAGGAAATGTCTCTTGCTCTGATTTTTCTTAAAGGAAATGTCTCTTGCTCTGATTTTTCTTGAAGAAAATGTCTCTTGCCCTGAATTTTCTTAAAGGAAATGTCTCTTGACCTGATTTTTCTTAAAGGAAATGTCTCTTGCTCTGATTTTTCCTTGAAAGAAATGTCTCTTGCTCTGATTTTTCTTGAAGGAAATGTCTTTTGCTTTAATTTTTCTTGAAGGAAATGTCTCTTGCTCTGATTTTTCTTGAAGGAAATGTCTCTTGCTCTGAGTAGATGTTACTTATTGGTCTTTGTAACAAAATGAGCCAGCTGGCTGATGTCAGACCAACTGCATAGTAGCAAGATGCTCCAGTATACTCTCTGTGTTTTACTATTAAACATGGTTTCTAGAATTTGCTGCTATATAATTCTCATCCAGGAGAGGGTAATCTTTGAGAGAGTGCAGTTCTAGAGGGGGAATATATATAAATCAGTCAATTTCTGTTTTCACAATGGAGGAATAAAAAGATTGGCTGCATTTCATCTTTAGCAGGTTCTTCTCTCAAGTTGGTTGTACACTGTTTCTGAGACAGCTATTTAGTCCTTCTGTTTATGTTGTCCTCCCTTACGTATTGCTGTCTGTCTCTTTCTTCCTTGCTTTTAACTTTTTTCTCAGATAAGATAAATGTGTGAGCCACTGTCGGTGACAACAGTTATAAAACAAAGAAGATGACACTGTATTGGGACACATCCTGAAAATAAAAAAAAAATAAAAACAGAAAATCACTTGATAGGCACTAATATGAGAAATAAAGAGATTGAGGAAGCATGTGAATATGAACACAAAAAGAACACTGTCGCAGTATTCTTACCAACGCTACGCTATCAGTGTCAAACATGGACACTGTCTTCAGACGATGGAAGGGAAAATAGTCACGACAAAAATAAAATGTTTGCATGCTATTCGAAGTGTAATGAGGAAAGATCGAGTTAGGAATGATGATATCAGGAGGAGAGTCAGCACAGAACCAATAGTGAACTTTATAGGTAGACAACAAATCAAATGATTTGGCCATGTAAAATTAGCATTAGACAGGGCATCACAGATACAGCAGTAACAGAACCAGAGGTCAACCACGCAGAATATGGGCTGCAGAATATCAAAGACACGGAAAAGTATTTTAAATGAAGCCAACAGAAGGGCCCGTTCCAAAGATCACCTCCTGCCATGACGCAGCGAGGCATTTCAGGAGTAGAGGAAGAGGAAACGAGAATTTCCATAAGAAACACTAATGAGAGAGGACTGGATTCCATCGACAGGATTGCACAAGATAGAATAAAATGGAGGTATAGACTGCGAACCCTATGTGACATATATGTGCACAACAGGACAATAATGATGACAGTGATAATTTTTCTAAGGGCAATATGTCTGTTAATGTGGCTGGAATATTGCGTACATATCTTACTGTAAATACTGTCTGATATCTGAGGTCAGTATCTTTTTCCTTCTCAGCTCTTGGAACAGCCTGACAAGGAGAAGTCTTTTATGTGGATTGGTCCTACTCGTAAATGCAGTTTCAATTTTGTGGAAGACTTTCTACCCACTACCATCATGTTCTGACAGTGACAAGTATTACATGCCCTCAGTTGTGACCCATTGGTATTATATCAGTTGTATTATAATGTATCCATGGTTCTTTTTGGTGATATTAGATTTAAAAAGCTTTTTTTGCTTGTGTTTGTTAGTAATGCAACAATGATTGTGTTTATGATTTTGACAAATTTTTTCCAAAATGTTTACATAAAAGTTTTTTTGGTTCTAGTCTCACTTTATTGTGTGTGTCATATTAACGCATGGTATATCCTTCGCTGCTTAGTGTGGAGGTTATGTTCAAAGTGTAGTCATTTGAGATTGTGCATGTGATACTTTGTCACTACCTGATGTGGGAGACATTTAAACGTGGCTGATGTTTTAGATTTCACACATCAAGTTTACCTGAAGTAGACTAATTCAACAGAATGTCCCTGTATATTTCATCTTCATTTAAAAACACAGATTGTCTACAAATGTTCATATTGACGTATATATATATTCACTGCTGCATGTTGAATGAAGAATCAACATCACATCACTTGGCACACACCCATGTGCGCTCTGTCCCCATCTCCAGCAGCAAGCGAAGAGTTCCAATTGTGATGGTACCAGTAACTGTCTGATTGTACATCCGTCTCGCCCTTCCCTTGAGTATTGAGCGTCGACCAGATCCCCTGGTAACTTCCCGCAACGCCATTCTCCTCAGACCATCATGATCTATTTGTGCCTCTGCACTGTCCACTCCTCCCAAAGGGCCCTCACAACATCTAGGTTGTCATGCATAAATTACCACTCTCCACGGAGCATGACTGTCTCCACCTTTCTTAGCATACTCTGTGAGTCAGTTACAATTACAACATGTGTGTACAGCTGATTCTCAGACCAGCTTTCATATATAAACATTACCTTCATTTCTGAAGTTGTAAACCCTGAACAGTATCACCATTAGCATTCAAACCCAGAAGTCTTCTGCCTTTATTAGTGCAGGCATATCCCCACATGGGGTTCACTGCCGGGGGGGGGGGGGGGGTGTGTGAACACAATAGACCCACTACCCCCTGACATGCTTGTTGTTAAAGATGACTAATAAGGTATTTTTTGAAAGTGAGTAAAAACCCTTCTGGGAGGCAAGAGGTCGGCAATGATAAAAGTGAGCTGATGGTGGTATATGGTGCTATACCTTTATTTTTAGACCAATTGACACTTGATGTCTGATGTGGTCAGCATCACACCAGTCATTTTGACTTTGCAAGTCTTGTCCTGGTAACCAGTTAGCTTGATTCAATCAGGGACCCCTTGGTCAGTTATGAAAGAACTGTCTCAGTGTGGACCTCAGCTCAAGAATTTGAGTTGACAGACCAGTGTCTGGTAGCTGCTTTTACACTCTGCCTGTGTTTGACATACTTTTTTATTAAATACTTTTTCTCTTCGTGCATTATTCTCCTTCATTCCTAATTCTCCACCCATCTTGTAAGTAAATAGCAGCATTAATACAGTTAATGTTCTTTTCTCTTCTTGCATCTATGACAACACTGATACAGTTAATGTTCTCATCTCTTCTGGTATATATGACAACACTGATACAGTTAATGTTCTCATCTCTTCTGGTATATATGACAACACTGATACTATTAATGTTCTTATATCCTCTTCCATCTATGGCAACACTGATACGGTTAATGTTCTTATCTCTTCTGGCATCTATGACACTGATACAGTTAATGTTCTTATCTCTTCTGGCATCTATGACAACACTGATACAGTTAATGTTCTTATCTATTCTGGTATATGTGAAAACACTGATACAGTTGATATTCTTATCTCTTTTGGCATTTATGACAACACTGATACGGTTCATATTCTTATCTCTTCTGGCATCTATGACAACACTGATACAGTTAATGTTCTTATATCCTCCCCCATCTGTGACATCACGGATACAGTTAATGTTCTCATCTCTTCTGGCATCTATGACATACAGCTTATATTCACATCTCTCCCATGTACGTTCAGAGGTCCCATTATGGGTGAAACAAATAGTCCCACTGCCCCCTATCAAGCATGTCATAAGAGTCAACTAATTAGGGCTTTCCTTTAAAGTCAGAGTGCATCTTCCTGGGAGGCTAGGAATCAAACTGTGTGTATAAAGAAACAAGATTTATAAAACGGATGTGTAAGCAAAACTAAAATACTGGAACGAGACTGAATTCTCGAGGAGGACAAACAACCAGAACTTTCCCCAGGAGTTTACAGCCGGTGATCGCAAAGAAGAAGAAGATATTCATATCTGCATCCCCCCTCTATGACAGTACCCATACTAACAGTTAATGTTCTTGTCATTTCCACCCCTCCCTTCCCCACTTTTTTTTTCACATTGGCTCTATGAGACAGAACATGCTAACACTTCACTTGCCAATTGGAATGTATTTATTCAGTGTCTGATATTATGATTTTCTGCTTGATTCGTCACATTCTTTTATTTTAAACCTGCAAATATCAAAGTAGATTGGTGGTATTATAACTCTTTTGAAGCAGATGTCTCAAAATGTTACTTGTTGATGAGTCTGTATGAATCAGTATTTCTTGGCTGTGAGAAGATTCATAATAGATTCATTTTTTTTTCTGTATTTAGAATAAATAATTTTTCTGTTATAAAAATATGATAAAGGACCCTTTTCTACGCCTTCAGACATATTGGATATAGGGCTCGAACGGTACTTGGGGTTTGATGGGGTCAGCATCA